GAGAGTTATCAACTTGTCATATACCGATTAATAATGAATTGGTGCCTGCAAAACCTGCTAGAAGGGTCACTTGGTGCAAGGAGGGGACGTGTGGCTTGTGGGTTTGGGGTTTGGGGGTGGGTGGGGGGTTGGATGAGGGCAAGAGGTGGTTCATAGCTACCAATGGATTTGATGGTAGCAGCAAAGATTTTAAATATGCACAAGACAGTATTGAAGAGAAGACCATGTTGCCAACTTTGAGAAAGCCTACCTGTCTCTCGTTACTTTTACTGTAATAATGATGTCAACATCTGATATCTGCAACCTGCCCAGCCAGTCACGATTCAAAAGCAAACTCGTCAAGCAGAGTTGAAATTGGCTGCAAGGAGAACCCGCTAAAGAGAGTTCATATTGGCAGGCAGCCTTATTGAGCTCCAGCAAGTTTCCTTTTGGGTTCAATCCAGTTGTGCAATATCCCAACATTGAGAGAATCTTAGCAAAATGTCACACTATCTATAGGTTTGCTTAAGCTTCTCTGGGTTGTGGGCAAAGGAGTGAGGAACCAACCACTGTAAAACTTTTAATAAGGCAAATCTGTGTGTAATTTCACCTTGATTCTCAAAATTCGGCCGAAACACCAGAGTATTAATCTAACATGACAGTCTGCATTACTCAATGCTGATTGATGCCCACCTTAAAGAAGTTTTCCTCCTCCCTGATTATAGGGTAGTTGCAAATGGCATTTTCCTGATCACAGCTGTACAGGAATGATTATGTATGAGAATGTATTTCAATATCTGTGCCCACACTTGCCACTATAACCTTCAATCTTGTTCTTGCCTATGTACTAATTTATCCTCTTTCTAAGTTAGTTAGTCATGATCTTATTGCACAATTTTAGTGAGATTCTAGACACACCTCATTGGCTTTGGTTAATAGGAATAATGAACCTGAGAATTGAGCACGAGAATCCGCATGCCTGATTTGTGGCACTTCTAATGATGCTTCTAGGAAATCAGGAGCACCATGATGAGGTGTGCTGGACTTTTTCCCAGTTCTTTGATCTATGGTCCCAACAAATGTAGCTCGCCAGCTTGAGCAGAGACTTGCAAAATTAACTTTGCATGAGTTGAGATCACGTGGCTTTGCATGTGTGGAGTTAAGACCAAGTGGTGTCTTCAGTTGGAACAGGAGCAGAGGCTGGTGGATAATTGGACCAAGATGTAGAGACCATTAATTCAGGCTCCATTTTAAGTCTCACAGCTTGCCTTTTGCATATTTCCAATATAGGTCGTTATGCCCAGTTTTGGATGGAATTTGCCTGTTCAAAGTTGCTGCACTCTTTTCCCCAGTGAATACACTACAGTGAGTGCAGAAAGCAACACTTCATTCATTTAACCAATTCAGCTTCCATGTAGGTTTCTGATTAAAACTAACAAGGTTACCTTGTTGCATCTACAACATTTTCATGTTAACTCAAAAACATCCTACAGAGGTCAACTATTACAGTGAAGCCACCTTTCCCAATTCTGGCAGGAAGTATTGCCTGTATCAACCACAAGGTGGCTGAGGCAAATGTAATCCAGTGTTTACAGTGACCAAAATACGTGCTTAAGGTTGCCCACAAACATTTTACCTCTGTTGCTGCTTATCAGGCTAAATGGATCTGCTATACTACATCCTAGAAATTAATTTTTGCTTTTCACAGTGAAGAATCAAACAAGAGAAAAATGATCATTCAGTTAGTTGTATAAGGAAGGAAGAAAAACAGTATTTTGCATGTGAAGGAATGCTGGAATAACTATCCCTCATTAGGTTAGAGGCTCATAATCAAGCAACTCCCACTCTGTAATTAAATAGAATCCATTTTTCTGTTGCAAATATTGACAGATATTTAGTTTAAATCCATGATGGCTGAGAACTATTCAGGAGATCTGGAATAATGTGTTTTCTTAGTTGTTTTTCTCACGTTTCCCATAAAATGAGTGGAACTGGTGGGGTCAGAGATTCTTGTTAGCACATGTTGATTAATAACATATGTATACACTGGTTTATTGCCAGTCTAATCTGGTTTATGCTTTAGAACCGTTGGCTGCTGCTTCTGTTCCAGTACCATTTGTACACCTGCATAGCAATACACCATTTAAATTCAATTTTCTACCCACAATGAAGTTGACAGCTACACTGGTACTAATAGAGCATTTTGTCTAATTGCATGCTCCATCTGACCTGAATTACATGGCAGCTGATGATGTGGTAGGGCCAATACCGACCTTTTATGTGGGACTAGACTAGGGACAATAAGGACTCCTTAATTATCACGCATAAGCAACTCGGAGTCTTATGAAAGCAGTAACAAATTTATTTACATTGACCAAATAAATATTGATTTTACTGGTTTCAGTTGAGTTTGGAATTGGAATTGTGGTTTACCTTTCCACTTGAGAAAGCTTATCAATTATTCAACATTCAACTCTGTGAACCCTGGTAAAAGTCGTTAGCAATCCTGTCAACTCATTGGAAAAAATGAAAAATCATGTATGGCCCCAACTGTCTTGGGGACGGCTTGTGGCTATAGCCATGGCATAGTAACAGATCTCCTCTGGAGTGAGAGAGGGGAGAGGTCACTGGACTCTGGCATGCTACTGGAAGGCTATCTCCCTGCACCGTAGCTTCAGCAGTAGGCCTGTCCACTGTCGTGAAGTGCCTGGCAGACTGTCGTTTTCCCCCCAGTTGATATTAGTATGCCAAATTGGCTATCCATATCTGATAGGCTGGCAGTCTGTGTATTGACCCTCCCTGTGGAAAGATTGAACAAAGGCAGTAATGTTTCAAATGGCTGACATGATGTTTTAGTTTATAACTTTTTTGGATGAAGGTTAGTCAACTCTTGGATTCTTCTGCTAAAGTGCTGCGTTGTGAAGAGATTGGACAGGGTTTATAATCTCTTATGATATTCAAAGTTAGTACAGAACAGGATTGTTGGTGAACTTGTCTGCGTTAATGACAGGACTTTGACATAAGCATACTGGCAGATATAGCCATAACTGCATAATGTTACAAAGAATATTATGTTGCAAGGACCAAGTACTTGAAGATTGAAGCATTATCCTGGTTATTTCTTTTAAATACGTTGGTGATTGGGGATGTTTACTTAATGGGAATGGGTAAAATTTTATTTGCAAAATGGGATCATAGCAAATAGGCAGCTGATTTTTAATATTATTGAATTTAATTAAGTGAGGCAAAGATTAGGCTGCCAATCAGTTACCACTACCACTACAACTTTGTGCTATTGATAAAGACCAATTTCACTATTACTGTTTTTGATAGAATAACAATATCCAGGTACGTCTGTCATTCTGATTGGAAAGTTCAACAGCAGATCTGCTGGAGCGACTCCACTCATTTTAGATATGGTTCTTGAATCATTAACAGCTTCACAGTCTTTGGAACGTGATGTGGAAGCTCTCCAGCAGCTGCAGACAAGGAGGATTAAAAAGTCATATTTCTTAGTATGGCATTGAGCCACTTAAGCTGGAAAATCCCAGGTCTGGTTCCTTGTCTGCGCTGAGTTAGCTCCTACAACCCACCACCTGCAATTGAGTTTGCTGCTGCCAGTGGCTATCCCATGCTCCCTATATGGAAAATGCCACAAGTGAGAACAGATTCAGCCTGCTGTGGCTGAGTACCTGCTGAACTTCCCTGCCAATGATGAAGCACATAAAGATTGTTCACTTATTGGAAGAAGAGCAGAGCTCTCAGTGCCTACAAAATAAATCATCACTTCGAAGGAGAGAGGTGAAATATCTGTATGTTGGAGAAGGAAGGTGTTGAGTAGGTATATTTATCATTAAAAGCTCAACAGATGTGGAAGAAGATGCTGGATGCAGATTTTTGTATCTATTTTAATATCCCAACACAATAAGACAGTGTGAGTGGGGAACACCTCTGCAAGAATAGTGATGGGTGTACAATAAAAGATGTTTGCTTTGGAACATCTTTTTGGTTCCAAGTTGCAGCAATCTCAATTCCCATGAGGAAATGCCAATGTGTATTTATTTTGGTCTTCATGAGGAAAAGCGATTCAAAGATGGAGGAATAATATAGAAATCTGGACTAGTAGCTATGTAGTTACTTCTACTCCTAATATTTTGCTGGCCAAGATTTAATAGATACTGCATCATATTATTGGACCAGTCAGATCCTAGGCTGGAATCTGGCTTGATAGATCATAATTTGTTTTTTATTGGTTTTAATGAAGTGGTCTTTCACTGAAATACAAGCATTCAATGATGCAGATTTGGCTTTAACAGTAAAACTATTCTAAATAAATGACAATAAAATAGGATAAATAAAACTGTTTATACATGACAAGCTTAAATATTTAGAAACACCAGATAAAATACACTTTATTAATCCTAAAGCACTCCTTTACAGTATTCACACTAGAGAGAATTCCCTTTACTTTCAAATCTTTAGGGCTATTCCCTGTCTTGAGAATCTGATAGCTTCTTCCTGGATCCTTCATATAACTGAACCATAGCTTTCTCAACTTCAAATAATACCTTCAGGGTTGTAACCAAATACTTCCGGGGTCTGTAACTTTCAAACTAACAGCTTACACTGAGGTGACCTATTGCTTAACAGTTCTAAGCAAACTCCTTTCGTCACAAGCAACTAGTTTGCACATCCAGCTTCAGCCAAGATGTCTGCAAAACCTCCTAACTGAAAACCAAAAGCTTTGTTCCAAGCTATGGGTGTTTACCTTAATCAAAAGAAAAAGAAGATCAATATCTGATCTTCTAAACCAAAAGCCTAATGTACAACTATTTACTTTGTTCGCTCATAAACTCTCCCATGGTTAAAAAAAACCCATTACTCTATAGGAAATTTCTCTCTAATGCTGTGTTTTAAAATAAATCATGATGACTGCAAAAATACTTAAAGTTAATCATTAAACTATTCATAGAAACAGACCAAATAAATGATATTAAAATATATATAAATCTCATCCTTACACCACCATCACCATCACCAATCCAATGTTCTGTCTCTGATGATATTAATCTTCCTTTCTGCTCCACAATTGTTGCCAGCTGCACAAAGTCAGAAATCACATGACACTGGTCATAGTCCAACAGGTTTATTTGAAAACACAAGGTTTTGGAGCCTCACTCCTCCTTCAGGTGTTAGTGAGAGAGGTAGTATCAGACACAGAATTTGTAAGTAAAAGATCAAAGGTTCACACCACTGATGACGATGTATTAAACAAACCTAAGATGCTGTTAAATCTTTAATCAGTTAGAAAGTTTTAATTGATTAATATGTGTATGTAAATCCCCGAATTTCTTTCAAGTCACGGTCCTGAGAGAACTAAAGGTTTTATCAGTGTAAAGAAGAGGTGACATTTTAGGTCAGAAAATGCATGTTAGGTGTGTGACCTTGTCTAGGCTCTGTTTGTTTTAGTTTGGAGTCAGACTGGTTCTATTTCTAAAGTAAGAATTTATGAAACGCCATATTGACTGCCTGTCTATAAATTATGTGCTTTTTACCTGTGACGGTAAATGCAAGGTTATGGAGATGGGATGGGTCTGGATGGGATGCTCTTCAGATGGTCAGTGCCGACTCAATGGGTCAAATGGTCTCTTACTGCACTATAGGATTCTATGTTCTATGATCTGTCATGCTGGGTATTTGATGGAAGCTGCACATTTCACTTAATCTTATCCTGGGGACAGTTGCTAGATGTGGCTAAGTTTTAATCCACTAATTTGGAACCTTTAACATCCTGAGTCTCTAATATCCTACAAAATCATAAACTTGTGTTTATACAGCATCTTCAATGCAATAAAATATGTCAAGACTGTTCATAAGAGCATTATACAAGAAAATTTGATATTAAGCCATATAAAGCAACATTATGGCACATCACGAAAAGCTCAGTCACAGAGGCAGGTTATAAGGAGGCTAAAGAGATTAAGAGGCCATGAATTTTAAGGAGGAAATTCCAGAGCATTGGGCTTTGGCATCTGAAATTGGTGGTATGATTAAAATCATCAATAATCAGAAGATAATTAGAGAGGTGCAGGTAACTTAAGACTTGTCATATTGGAGAGAGAAGTGAATGAGGGTTAAAAGTTGAAGACCTCACAACAGCATTTCAACATGGCTTACAAAGTTCGGAAAGTGTGCTAAACGGATAACTCAAGGACAATGTAGCACAAGATAAAACAACTTTTAACAGACTTTCTTACAGGGAGAGCTGAGGACATTAAGATGTCATGACTGTTAATTGTAAACTTATTTCCAAACACAACATACAAAAGGGACAGTTAGAAATGAGCTAGTTGCATTTAAATATTTTCCAGCAGAGATTTTATAGTTTATCAAGTTCCTTGATGAAATCATTGACTATACAAACAATACACTTTATCAAATATTTAACTAATTTATCAACAGATATTTTCATTTTTGGGATGTAGGCTTTGATTGCTACTGATTAAATATTTCACGAGATCCTTATGCCGGCTGAATGGCACAACAGGTTCAATGGGCTGTATGATCTACTCCTACTCTTATTTCGTATATATTCCTTGGAGATGTTATACAATTTTTATATAAACTTGCAGTTGTGTTACTGCAGTCACATCATGACACAACACTATCGTACACCGATAATATAAAACACATTATCTGCCAACATTGGGAATAGTTGTTAGCCGTGGCTGACTGGGTAGCACTATCTCATCATTGACAGAAGTTTACATTCAAGTCCCACTCCAGACACCTAAGCACAAATATCCAGTAGAGTGTTGACAGACTGTGTGCACTGTCAGAGATGCATTGTTAAGGATAAGACATTATCTGGAGGGCTACTATGAGCCACAAGAACTGTAATTTATATCACTCAGTGTAATTTATTTGGTGCTGGCTTGTGGGACTTCTCTGTGTCCAAATAGGCTCTATTATGTCTCTTGTTGGTACTCACCTACAAATAGAGACTATTTTTTTCAACTCTACATTATATTATCAAAGACCTCTTTCAATTATCCTCACATTTACCCACGGAGTTGTTTTCATGTCTTATGCTATGTAGGCAGTATTGCCTTAAGCACTGTATGGAATGGGCTGCCAAGAAAACAAATTTATCAGCAAATTCAAGAGAGAGTTGGATAGGTATTTGGAGGACAAATTGATAGACTGGCAGGGGAGGTGCTGTGGGATGTAATTTTCCAGGACATGAGTCAGCCAATTGGCTGTGACGATTTATTTTTACATATTTATGCAAAAACAAAAGATATTAAAATAATTCCCTAAATGATGTGAAGACTGGTAGTTGTTGGCTTCTTAAAGTTTTTATTTAACATTGTGAAGTGTGTAATTGGACAGTCTCCCGTGGGACTGTCTATAATAACCCTCTTTATTTTATACATTTCCAAAGTGACATCATCCTGTCAACATGCTTTATATCATTGCAAGTAGAAGTAAATGCAGAACCAATGGATTACACAATGGTGTATTTTATTTCAAATACTCTGATCCATCATTGCTGTTTTCACATATCATGGGAAGAGATATGTCAGGTTTGGAACGTACAAACTTTGTCTTGTCTTGGCAAAAAGAGAAGGTGCAGTGGGGCTTGACATTGATTGGACAAGGCGCACTGTATGATTTAGTATCGAGGTTATAAGGTTGCAACTATCTTTTTTGACGGTTTTTCTCATCAGCCGTGATGAAATGATGTTATTTTTGCTGTGTTAGCACCTGTGGAAAGCAGTGACAATCATCTAGATGTGATTCATGTGGACTCTGCTCAGTAAAAATCCTAGTTCCTCCTGACAAGTGCAGCTTTGCTGGGCAATTCAACATTCAAGGAAATGTTCAAAAAAGAACACAACTTCTTTTTAATGCTCCTATTTTCCTTCACCTGGGGTCCCTACATCAGTTTCATGGAGATCAGTCTTCAATTCCTGAAGACATTAGGTTATCTCAGGAGGGTTGGCAACGCTAGTGTTTAGGAGTCCGGACCCCATGTTACCTGCATGTTAAAGCCCAATTTCCTGTGCAATCTGTGTGTAAAAATCCAAAGTCCTATATAATCCAAATATAAAATTCTCAGTAGACCAGATTCAACATGAAACACAAGATTCTGGAAACAGTAACCATTCGTTACCAGACGTAATGGGAGTCAATCAACAGATGTTAATATGATGATGAATTTAATGCCATTGTCTTCTTTTAAGTTTCTATTGAAAGCAAGAGCAGGTTGTTCTGTTTATCACAATGTACTTTTTATAATTTTGCACCTTTCCAAATCTCCCGGACAAGTTTGCTTGTACTGTCCATTGTGTATGACTGAAGGTGAATGGATAGTATTTTAATTGTCAATTATTCATTCATATGGAAGAATCTTTTGGAATAGTGAATAACTGAGCTGTATGAATTTATTTGTTGAATATAAGGGCTCTATTTTCCTTCAAACATTGTTGCGACTTGCTAGTGGCCTATGTACCAGCAGCGCGCTCTAAGGCATTCCTGAATGGAAGGAATTGAACTCAGTGGATCCAGCAAGAGAGTGAAAAGCTGGCCGGCTGAGGTTAGTACTGCTACAGGTAGCATGTGTGAGCTCTCTGACTTGACTGGAGATTTCCTGCATTGCCCTGACTGTAACAGTTTGTTGACTAATTCAATAGGCAGTATGGTACCGATTGAGGGCGACTGAAAGATTCCGAGGAGAGAGGAGCTTGGGATAGTGGAGCTAGAAGATGCCGGGAGAGGAATTAAGTTAATCAGTACAGGCAGTGAAAGCATGTGTGACAGCTAAGAAATGGAAGAAGCACTCAGGAAGTGAAAGATAAAACACTGCCTGAGTAGAAAGTTCAACTGCATAATTCAAGGATTTTTGCCTGAAACCGGTACAGTCAGGGAAATTGGTAATTTCTTTAAAATGATCATGGATTCAAAAAATTTAAGAATTTGCATCAATTGTAAAAGGATTAATTTTGTACATTTCTTGAATAATAAGAAAACTGGTCCATGTCACATGGTGACCTTTTGATATGACAGTAGTACCAACGAAAAGGATGTTAAGATACAAAGTGGACATGAGATCAGAAGTAGAGATGATAGACAAGGAAGCTACTGCTGTAAAGAACAACAAGGGAAGGAGAGAGAGAGAGAGCACATTTATAAGGAGCTGAATGTGTAATATAGCTAACAAGAAAAGAAAGCTGAAGACACGGTTAGAGCAGAAATTCTGAATTGTGCTATTCTATGACAGTGCTTCAGTTTTGTCAAAGACAACCAGTGTGTTAAATGAAGTTTGTTAAAGCTCCCTGATAAAGAAAATTCTGGGAATCTGTGCAACCAAAACTGTCATGAACCTAATTAAAGAAGCTTTTCAGGAACGTGCTGGTTGACTGACAACTGTCTTAAGGAGATTTGGATGAAGTGGAACTACCTTTGCAAATGATTCAAAGACAAAATCCATTGAGTGAGAAAAGTGAGAAAATTTTATGTTCTGGAGGCTGGGTTGGAAATACTGATGCCATGTTTGTGTGTGAATTCATACAAATGATTTTAAAATTGTGAGATAGTCTTTGTTGTTTGATGCGTGTTTTGTAGTTCATATATTCTACTGAGTTATGTGAAAGAAAATGCTACAAAAAGTTGACTCCTGTTGGTACCTTTTTCATGCAGGGGTTATTTGGCGAGATTGGTTAATGTATTTTGGTTCACTGTTTCCCCTCTGGGAATTCTAACAGCAATCAATCTGTTCTCTTATTTTAATTGTTTCTAAATCCATCTGCACCTGAGGGAAAGAAATGGACAGGACTAATAAAAGGCAGCAAAAACGTGAAGAGCCTGATGATGAAAACAAAAAAAGCAGAAGTGACACTATCCAGATCTCTAAAAGATTCTGTGTTCAGAACAAGAAAGGTGGAGACAGGGAAATGGAGGTAGATACAAAGCAAGTTAAACAAAGACACCAGAATCTAGAATGGTTATTTATTGTCAGAGTATTGCACTGTTTTGTCAAGATGGTGGTTGTTGAATAATAAACAGATGAGCACAAAACCATTCTGGCAAAGGGAATGAAGCTGCTTCCACCACGCATTCTTAGTCTGTTC